CTTTTTTTTTTTTTTTTTGAGTCAGAGTCTCACTCTGTCACCCAGGCTGGAGTACGATGGCACGCTCACGGGCCACCCCACTGTCGACCTGTTGGGTTCCGGCGATCCTTCCACTTCAGCCTTCCAAGTAGCTGGAGCTACAGGCGCACACTAGTTATCGCACCTGGCTAATTTTTGATATGTTGTAGAGATGAGATTTCAGCAAGTTACCCAGGCTGGTCGTGAACCCCTGGGTTCAGGCAATCCTCTCACCTCCTCCCCCAAAGTGCTGGGATTACAGGTTTGAACCACTGCGCCTGGCCAGGCAGGTGTTTTTAAAACAAATTTTGAGCCTGGAATATGTTGTGACCTCTATTACATTAAATTTTATATTAACTAATCAGTGATCATCAGCTCAGAGGATAGGATGATATTTAAGTTTAGAGGTTTTATACAAAGAGATGAAGAGAAACATACCATGCTCACATTCTGCAAAGTCTGCATTCGCAGAGCTTGAAATGATTCCAACTGATGCTGAAGGACCTATGATAAAATTAAACAAAGTATGAAATGGAATATTTCTAGGTAGGTGAGTATATTCTTGGACTGTTATTTTTTTTTTATACCCTCAAAAGTTGCCTATTACTAGAAAAGATCACATGAGGGTCAGGTGGCTCACATTCTTAGTCACTTTTGCTAACTCTCCAAGGTGCTTTCAGGAATATTTTTATGAGGATAAAGTGGAAGAACCTGTATTCATTTAGGAAGTATTCATTCTGAAAAATAGTAGCCTCTACACAGGACTCTGGAGATAACAAAATCCAATACACTCATTTTCACCCACTTCATACAAGTATTTAAAAAGGTCTAATCTGAGATTCTTTATGAAAAAAATTCTAGCAAAGCCAATTTAAAACGGAGCCTGTTGGCCAATAATTATTCTTGCTGCACTTTATGGAAATAATCAGGCAAGATATAACAGGACTAACACTTATTTTGCAAATAAATTTGTCCTACTATTATTTGGTAGAAATGGAGGGCTGGAGAGAGAAAATTATGCTTCAAAAGAAACTTTGTACATCTGTTACTAGATTTTCTTGTTCACTATTTTTGAGTATTGATTAATTTCTACAATTTGAACTGAATTCTGAATTCTTTCCAGGCTTACATTCATATAGTCCATGCTCCCTATGAATGAACCTAATATGAATGTAACCTCTGTGCTTTCTGATTACAGTTTGTTTATGGCAATGGGTTGGACCCTCACTTATGTGACACTTTGTGACTCCTTTCTTTGTCCAATCAAATGATAAAAGGTTTCGGTTCTTTTCCCATGGATTAAGAAGAGGGCTAACAGGAGGATGCCAGGACACCTGGGGCAGAGTCTTCTAGGGATGCTGGTCCCTAACTATGCAGTTAGCGCTCATGAGGGAGGGTCTTCTGTGTCATATTAAATGCCACCCACCCACTGCACCTATATAAACACCTCAGAAGTTGAATACTGAAAAGACAACAAGCTGTATGGCTGTACTAGGTCTCTACCACAGACTGTATGACTGACTGCTATTCTCATGGGTATCTCAAGACTTTAAGTCAGGTAGTGATGTCTTCGTCATGGGAGCCCTGGGACTCCAGCCCAACTACTTGCAGATATATGCAGACAGTTGCAAGACGGTTTTCTTTCTTGTACCCTGGGCCCAGCCCCAACCTCAAGTATGCCTCCTGTCCGCAGGAAGAAGTTAGGGTGGTCATTGGCATGTCATTAACCCACACCTCAGGACTGAGGTATGCTCAGCCTCAAGTGGGAGATTAAAGTCATCTATGGAAAATAGCCTTCATGTCCTGACCCTGGAGGAGGGTCAAGGCTGAACCACATGTTTTTTCTTAAAAAGGGACCTAAAAGGACAAAAGCCTGAGGAAGGGCTTGAGGACAAAAGCCCGACGGAAGGGCTTGCAAGTGTCTTCAATTACCAGAGACCCACCTTCTGCTGTGAGGGGGTAGTACCTGAACCCCCACCCAGGCCCAGAACACCAGGAAGTCCTCTACTGGTTCTGTGACGACCAGGAAGGCAGTCTGGGCACCCCTCACCATGGCGTCATCAGCCCCTTCCTCTGCCCGCCAAATTCCCTTTAAAAGCCCAACCCTCTGAACTTTCCAGGAGGAGGATTTGAGGGAGTTCCTCCTCCCTCCTCACTCAGCTGCTTTGCTCTATTAAACTATTTCTCCATTGGGGGAAAAAAAAAGAAATTAAACATACTCACTTTCAATGCTGATTGTGGTTGAATTTGATTTTCTGATTCTGATATGCAGCCATATTCTAAGATGCAAGATTGAAAAGCCATGTGATCTAAACATTAAATTTTATTTCTGTACAGTTATAATATAAAGCAGTCTCCTTTCTTGGATAGTGAGACAGAGAGGAGAACATTTGATATTCACACTACACTATTCATATACAAAGTTTAAACAATAATTCTCACTTGACTAAAAATACACAGTTGAGGCTGTAATAGAGCTTACTATAAGAGTTAACCATTAATTTGCAACACCAAATTTGGAACCCTCAAAAACTGAAGTATCCTTGTTTCTGAGATAGAAACTACATCCTCTTTTTGTTTTGTTTTTTTAACTAATAATCCTCATGTTATAGGAGATCCTTGGCAAAGTACCATACAGGCCTTGTTGTCTATGAATTTTCCATATGATGTTTCTTCCCCCCTTCTGAAAAGCAAGTTGGATTAACAGGGCATAATTTATGTCTCAGTCCTGAGCACAGTACCACCACGACCCACGTGTTCCTTCCCTTGGGAAAGGCAGTGTCAGGCGCGCAGTCTTCTGACGCCCTCCCGGCCACGTAAGAAGTGGGCCTGGGGCCTGGCACACATTCTAACCAGGAGAGTCCTCACAGCCTGTGTTGACTTGTTGGTTACCTTGCATTTGTCTCTGTTGCAGACACAGTGTGTACTCCATGTCCTGCTTAAGGGTGTGTATCATATGTCACCTGGCCAACCCCACCACGGTATCTGTCCCCCGCAGAGAGGGCAGGATCTGGGAAAATGTGAGGCCCAGTTAGGCCAATAAATTATGCTGAGGAAGGAAATTTCAGGATGAGATTTTATGACGCTAAAAAGAAACTGACCACTGCCAGAGTTGAGAAAACATCACCCACCAGCTGTGAGTCATTTTCGTAAATGAACCTTCAGCCTTGAATAAATGGAAAAGCAGTCAGCCACTGCTGCTAATTAGCCCTGTCTTAAAACAATACCCCAATCAATCGGTCATCTTGTGGAAACCGTCATGCAGGTGACTTCCCTCTGGCGACATTCTGTGTCACACAGGCCATCTCCCTGGCACGAGGCACAGCTCGACACCCCCAGCCCGGCCTTGGAAAACGTCCCCTCTGGCTTCCTCCTCATGGCAGAGAGCAGGCAACCTCTCGTTGCTGCGGCCTGTTGTTTCCCTACAGAGCATCTCTGCCTCTCTGGTTTTGTTGTTTACAGTCGTAGAGTACACGTGGGGATCTACTGCATGAGCAGCCTGCCTGCAGGTGGATTTGGTGCTTCTAGCTGGCCCTTTCTCCCCGATCGTGGACCGGGCCCCCAGCGCGTGGCATGTACTCCCTTCTCCTCTCCCTCCCTCCCCCCTGTAGCAGTGTCCAGCATCTGCCGATCCCACCCTCGTGCTCGTGTGACCCGTGATCGGGGCCTGCTTACGAGTGAGAACGTGCGGCATTCGGTTCTTGGTTTCTGAGTTCACTGAGTGTGACGGTTTCCAGCTGCGTCCAAGTTGCTGCAAATTCCGTGATTTTGTTGTTCTTTAGGGGCATGATATTACATTGCATGTATGTACATTTTCTTTATCCAGTCCACTTTCGGTGGGCATTTGGTTGGTTCCTGTTTTTGCTATTGTGAATAGTGCCGCAATAAACATGCATGGGTAGTGTCTTTTTGGTAGAGAGATTTATGTTCCTTGAGGCATACTCCCAGAAGAGGGATTGCTGGATCACATCATGGCTCGATTGTTAGTTCTTTGAGAAATCACCACACTGCTTTCCATAGAGGCGTTCCAGAGGCTTTGAGAAATCACCACACTGCTTTCCAGAGGCTGCACTAGCTTATATTCCCACCAACAGTGTAGAAGTATCTCCTTTTCTCTGCAGCCGTACCATATCTGTTGTTCTTTTTGTTTTGCTTTGTTTTTTGACTTCTTAATGATAGCCATTCTTACTGGTGTTTGGTGGTATCTCACTGTAGTTTTAATTTGCATTTCTCTGATGACTGGTGAGGCTAAGCATTTTGTCATGCGTTTGTTAGCTACTTGTATGTCTTCCTTTGATAAGTGTCTGTTTATGTCCTTTGTCCACTTTTTAATGGGGTTGTTTCTTTTTTTCCTTTCACTTTGTTTAGTTCCTTTAGATCCTGGATGTTAGGTCTTTGTCAGATGCACAGCTTGAAAACTTTCTTCCCATTTCACGGGCTGTCTCTTATTCTCTTGATGGTTTATTTTGCTGTGCAAAAACTTTTCAGTTTGATAAGGTCCCACTGGTTTATCTTAGCTTTTGTTGCATTTGCTTTTGGGAACTTGGCCATGAATTCATTGCCTCCTCCAGTGTTCAAGAGGGTGTACTCTGCGTTTTCTTCTAAAGATTCTTGTAGTTTGAGGTTTTACATTTAAGTTTTTGATCTTTTTGAGTTCATTTTTGAATATGGTGATAGGCAAGGGTCTAGTTTCATTCTTCTGTATGTGGCTAGCCGGTTTTCCCAGCACCATTTGTGAAATATGGTTTCCTTTCCCCAGTGTTTGCTATTGATAACTTTGTCAAAGATGAGTTGGTTGAGGGACTGTGTTTTTTCCCCCAGGTTCTCTGTCCTGTTCCATTGGCCTACGTGCCTTTACCTGTACCAACACCATGGCATCTTGGTTATGGTAGTCTTGTCATAAAGTTTACAGGCTGGAAGTGGGGTATCTCCAGCTTTGTTCCTTTTGCTGAGAATAGTTTTAGCTTTTCATGCTCTTTTTTGTTTCCGTAATAAATCCCCCTTTAATTCACAACTGTCTTGGTGAATACTTTCACTGCCTGCGGCACCAGTTTCATCTAGTCACGAACACCACACAGGTTCTTCTGCTGCAGCACCAAAGCGAGTGTGTGCAGGCTCAGGGCCCTGTAGTGGCTTCCAAGAGGGATCCCCTGGCCATAGGAACCCAGCACCCATGACTGAAGTGGATCTTGCTCTGTCTCTTCTCGATGAGATAAAGCATCGTTCCATCCAGTGCTTACCAGCTGTGTTTTCCTTGACAACCCTGAAACTAAGAGACAGTAGACCAAAAGTACATGAACTTTTTTTGGTTACAGGCAGGATGTCACTCACTCGATACCATCCTAGATATAGATTTGCAACAGGGGAGAAACTATACAATGTTTGCAAATTCCTAACATATATCCCTCTTTGTCCAAATGTTAGGCTACTCGCTTGCTTTGCAGATTTTTTAAATTAAAGAATATAAGGCCGGGCGCAGTGGCTCACGCCTGTAATGCCAGCACTTTGGGGGACTGAAGTGAGAGGACTGCCTGAACCCGCGGGTTCGAGACCAGCCTGAGCAACATGGTGAGGCCTCATCTCTGCAATAAATCAAAAAAGTAACTGGATGTGGTAGCACGCCTGTAGCTCCGGCTACTTGGAAGGCTGAGGCAGAAGGATCGCCGGAACCCAGCAGGCCCAGGCTGCCGTGGCTGTGAGCATGCTGCACTCCAGCCTGGGTGATGGAGTGATACTCCAACTCAAAAAAAAAAAAAAAGAATATAAAACATTCAGTGTCCCAAGTGAGGTGAAATGAGAGCTATGATTGAATGTTCCCCTGGGCTGACAATTTCTGCCCTATGAGAAGGTTTCAAAAGAGGTCAGCAAATCTTCTCCTTTGGATTGCTGGTCTGCCAGACGTTAGAAAAGCAGGTTGCAAGATATAGTCATCCCCTCTGCCGTCTGGTCCTGACTACCAGAAGAGCATCACTGCTCCAGTGCCTGGGGCTGCGCGGCCAAGTGAAGAATCCTACCCGCCTTTAGTCAGAGGGCAGGGAGGAGGAGCGAGTCTATCTATCTGGATCTTGCTTAGCTTTGCCTCTTCTTCGGACTATACTGGCGGCTAAGCTCGTAGTCTGAAATGTTCATCTCGTAGAGATAAAAAGGAACGGAAGGAAGGCTGGGATCAGTACAGCAAGGCATCCCAACATTTTTCAGACCCTAAAGTAACCTCTTCTTATGAACTCAAGTAGATCAAAGTGCAAATCAAAAAGAACATATCACCTAGAATCCCACCAGCCAGAACTAACCATTGTTAGTGGCAGGCACCCATCTTTCAGTCAGTTCTCAATGCATATATGTGGAAAAAACAGATATGCTTTTCACATAATAGGATTTTACATAAATAGTATTATATTTACTTGGATTTCATAGAATTTTTAAAGCCTGCAAATACTGTAAGTTATTGGCTAATTCTAAGGTATTGTCCATCGACTCTCTCCCCCTATATCTGGCTTCTTTCTTCCCCCTTCCTCAGGGAGTGGTCTCTGGCCAAGGCTGGTCGCTAGAGGATTTGCATATTCCCAGTAATGAGTCAGGGGATGCAGGTGAGCAAGCACAGCTGCAAACAGTGTAGGTGTCGCCCTTAATCAATGTAATTGTAAGCACTGTGGAGCAATTTGAATAATTAACTTGCTTGATTATTAAACTGCTTACTGTACTGTCCTGAGGCACGGATTCTTCACTGACCAGCTGCCATTGGTGCCTTCAATTAAATTTTAATAAACCAATGTCTTTCCCTGCTGGACCTCGGGATGACTTCTTTGGAACAGGTAAACCTTATGTGCAAACCCTTCCGGATTTGGGGTAATCATGTTCCACCAATATTCAGATTTTTTCACTATGTGAGAGATATTATTTGTAAGAGATTCCATTAAACATAATGAAAATATATCATGAAAAAGATTAAGAAGCTGAATCTTTTTTTTTTTTTTTGAGTTGGAGTCTCACTCTGTCGCCCAGGCTGGAGTGCAGTGGCACACTCACTGCCACCGCAGCCTCAACCTGCTGGGTTCAGGTGATCCTTCCACCTCAGCCTTCCAAGTAGCTGGAACCACAGACATGCGCCACCACCCCCAACTAATTTTTTAAAAATTTATTATAGAGATGAGGTCTCGCCAAGTTGCCCGGGTTGGTCTCAAACCCCTGAGCTCATGCAATCCTGTTGCCTCAGCCTCCCAAAGTGCTGGAATTACAGGAGTAAGCCACCATGCCCAGCCTGGAATCTTTGTTTTTTAATAATACACATTTCCATTTTATTAAGT